GAGGCAGCGATTCACCCTTTCCACCCGCGGCGTCGCACCTTTCACCAGCCCCACCTACCACCTATACCACCTTTCCGCCCCCCTAACCGTGCCCCCCACCCCACCCTCGTCCCCCTCGGGGCTCCGCAGAAATATCAACTCCAGCGTCGCTCACTCGTGGATTACCCTGTCCCCGTGTTGCCGGCTTGACTTCTGGTCCCGGATTGGAAAATTTCCCGGAGTTACTTGATTTGAACTAGCACTAAATCAGAAAAATGAAAACACAAAGAGAAAGAGATGAAATATGAGAAGGGGGTACGTAAGAATAAACAAGGCGGAAAGTGCTAAAAAAGTGAGTTTTTAGTTAAATCGAAAATTTAGGAGTTTTTTAATGGTCACGGGCCAAAACTCCGAAGGGGATGGCTGGTTTGCATACTTTTTAGCTCTGAATTTATTCATGACCTTAAATACATCAAAGTTTAGATTAGAGAGGAGGGGTGAGGGTTTCGAGGTGTCCTTATAATCTCTCACAGTACAAAATTGGTTTTTTGGCTATTTAATCACGATTTTCTAAAAATCGAAACCCCAGGAGCGAGAATTGTCGATATCATTTTAGAGATTTTTCTGTGCCCGATGTGGTTTTTATATCTGAATAATGCAATATTTTCAGAGTTTCCTTTCACTAGAAAGTTTTAGTTTTCTAAGGTCACGGCTGAATTCATCGTTTAAAAGTATGGGCAATACTATACTACACTCCATGAGTTTTCCATATAAGCGTCATCAAAATTCAGAAAAAAATAATGACAATCCGCACAGTTTTGTGGGCTACGAAGCTCAGACTGTGGTTACTTTTGAGGTGGTAAAAATTTTACGAAGAGAAAAGTCCCAGTTCCATTCGTGAAACACATACCTGCAGGCTGGTCTTTTAATTGAGAATCGCCCTGTATGAATCGGCGATGAAAATCTGAAGTTTTGACAAGATCAGAAATGAAAGATTCATTTCACACTTGACAGGTGCAGGCGGGATAAAATTGGAAAGCGCTCGGGGGAACCCGGAGGTGCTTTTTTTTGGGCCGAACTCGGAATCCCGCTACAGCACTCCAGAGAACCGAATCCGAAAGGTGCGGAATAATTATAAAAACTAAACTATCATTTTGAGCCAAAATAGCGTATCTTCGTGGGCTCCCATCCGAAGTTAAACGTGTTATGGCTTAACGTGGCAGTTGAGGGGGAGGGGAGGTCCTGTCATTCTGCTGAAACATTCTATGAACATGCAAACGTGGCCAAATTTCCCCCCTCGTTATATTTATGTTTAAGAGGAAGTTATGAATAATTTTCTTTGATATTTTCCGGAGACACCATTCATTTTAGAATAATTAGTCACTTTTACGGTGGTATTCTATCAGTGCTTCGGAGAGGTTTTTACGAGAGACATGTTTTAATCAAATACTGTGTGTATAATTAAAGAATATTATAAAAATCAGCATATAAATAAAAAAGTAGAAATGAAGCGCTTTTAAAATATTAAAAGAAAATACTGAATTAATATTAAAATCAAATTATCTTAAAAAACAGACAAAATGTTGAAATTCCAGACAAAATACTCAATAATATTGTCTGAATATTATACCATAATGGACTGATGCTATTCTTGTAACGCTGACTTAGTACGTACCAAAATTGAGCCAATGCTAAATGGACCACATTTTACAATTTCAGGCTCATCCATAAAAGCACCTTCCTGCACAAGGAAACTTATAGCACAAATGATGTTTCTAAAATGATCCAGAAATTGTAGCTCATATTTGCAAAATGCGGTCTAAATGAATTAAATTGAAAACTATATAATTCTAAAATTTTACAAACATGTGCACTCGTCAATTCCTACATATTTTTGTCCGTATTAGAGTAAAACTTCCTTTGCACTGGAAAAAAAAAAAAAACACATTGGATCTAGAGTCCAGACTCTTGAAAACATTTACAAGAAAAAGGACTCTTGATTCAATCAGATTTAAGCTTAAATCAAAAGAAAATCCGCTTAAATTAAGAGACCTGGATCTTGATTTAAGCTAGATTCTGATTGAATCAAGAGTACTTTTTCTTGTCGATGTTTTTAAGAGTCTGGACTCTAGATCCAATGTGTGTTTTTTTTTTTTTTTCCAGTGTAAAGTAAAATTCTCTGCAAAATTCAAAGAAAACAACAAGTCCTCCAGGTGCCTTGTATTCAATCAGAGGAAACTCGACAACGTCCGAGGGTTCATATGCCGTTTTTCCCTAACACGGGAGTGTGGGACTTGGACGGAAGTCGAGGGCCGGAGCCGGGATCCCCAGGGATGAGTCGCGGCGCAGACTGAGTCTGAAATCGCATTTGCACTTAATCCAACCCGACAGAATCAAGCGGAGAAAAGTAAATCGAAAGGAGGAAAAATAAGGAAAATGTCGCGTCGTTCACGTTTTTTTTCACCTTTTAATGTCAATTCCGCCCTCCCCCCACCCCCTTTGCACCTCCCTCGTTTGTCGGGGATCCGTCGCCCGTTTATCGATACGCGGCTAAAAAAAGGCAAATACCCTTCACTCATTACGTCGCTCCTCCGGGATAACCCCATCTCAACGTGAGCCGCGGAGAGCACGGATTCATACGGGCAACAGGGCTCATCTGGAAACGTAGTTAAGCCTTTACGTGAAAGGACTGACGATTAGACCTCTCCGCTCACCTATGCGGAGCTCCGAGGGGGGGGGGAGGAGGGGGTAAAAAATAAAACAGGAAGAAAAAAGTTAATAGAGTCAAGATGTAAATTAACCGCCTCGGGGGACGGGAAGCGAAAATAGATCCTCGAGGCCCCTCTTTTTTATTTGCCGTTGAGTTGACGATTTAGGAGGGTAAAAAATGAAATAATGAGGGGACGAAACGGCTCGATGGCCCGTTTTGGCTCCGTTTTGAATGGAGGAATTTGTACGACGAGTGCGGGAGTCCCTCCTCCGCATCGAGGATGTTGCCAATTCGGGCTGAAAATTAGGGGGTTTATCGCATTGTCCCGCGCGAATCGCAACAAGACTTGGCGACCGTGGGGTGGCACGAGGCATGACATGGCGAGATGCGCCTGGAAAATTTATAAAGACCCTCATTTTGTTCCGAATAAAAAACATGTCGTTTTGACTGCGTCGGATTTTTCACGTCCTCCGATCCGACCGGCGAGGACGCGATGTTGAACTCAACACGTGCATCTATTTCAAAATGTAGACACCAATTAGAGCTTTGTTTGTTGAATTTGTACTTCTATGATCAGATACGACCCTGTAAATAATCTCTCCATTTTTCTTTCTTCTTTCATTTCAAGGTTGTTCTGGGTTTTTTATCCCCATAAAGATACTACGACGTTTAAAAACAGTTTAAGGGTGAGAAGTTTTTACACATTCATACCCGAGGCCTCGGAATTTTCAGGGTGATAGAGTGGCATGTGCCTCAGCGGACTCACTCCTACTTCCGTGATACTTTCACTAAACCACCGGAATTCGAACCCAGGACCTATCAATGGACCACTAGACAAGGTACGAATTTAAGCGATCGGATCCATCTTTCTAAAACCAGAATTTCACGTAGAAAAAGATTCACACAACGAAAATTACTGAAACCAACTCCTAACGAAGATATTAACGTTTTTATTTCACATTGGTTACGAGGAATTTGAACTGCCCGCTCACAAGAAACTCAAAGCTCTACGTGAGTCAAATCGCCCACTACAACGGTTTCAGCAAGCTTCTCAATCGCGCTATGTTCATTTCCCACCATGTGTTGTTCAAACTATTAGCAATTTGCTATAACTTAGCCAAAGCGTCAAGATTGAGGTTGCTAGATTTTTGTATCGCAGAGACTGTCATGATAACGTTTAGCGCGCGATGTGAATCACGTAGAGCATTGAGTTTTCATGAGCGGGTGGTTTGAAGTCACGCATCAAGAATCATTAAATATCTTCGTAAGGAGTTGATTTCGGTAATTTTGGTTGTGCGCATCGTGTTCTACGGGAAATTTTAGTTACGGAACATGTATCAGAATGCTGAAATTCGTACCTTGTCTAGTGGTCCATTCGAATCCAGGACCTATCAATTGAC